ACAAAAATCCTACTGGTTTTGAACCCGGGACTTTCTGAATACTAGGCTGGTGTCTTACCACTAGACCACCAGCGCCACTGAAATTTGTTTTCTTTAATCTTCCTCTTAAGCTACATCTTTAGTTATAATTCAAGAAAAATCTTATTACCTCCACTTGTATTTTATAAAACTTTCGTTGGTTCCGACCCTTGGAACTCCGTGACATTAGGCCAATATTTTACCAATGTGCCACCAATGCCACGGAAATTTTTTGCCTTTAATCTTCCTCTTATGTTACATCTCGATATATTATTCCATAAAAATCTCATTACAAAAATACTTCTGTTTTCGAACCACGAACATTATATTTACAACGCCTGTGCCTTACCTCTACACCACCCGAACATGTATGCAGTAGCTGTATGCGATCGCCCTTATATTATACGACTTCGTTTATAGCTGCAGAAAAATCGTATTTATTTATTCACTTTTCAATTTCTATTGACAAAAGACACCGTGGTCTAGAACCCGGTACCTTCCCAATACTACGCCAATGTCTTACCCGCGTACCACCAGATCTATACAAATCTGTTACCTTCACCTTCCTCATATAGTACCACTTGCTTCCTACATGCACAAATTTCTTACATCCTTTTTTCACAAAAATAGTCGCGTGTTCGAACCACGTGACTTCTGAACCATACGCTAGTGCCTTACCAAAGGCCCACAATGGTTATGACAACTATTCGCCTTCGTCTTTCACATATCCCACCGCTTCGTTTCAAAGTTTCAAAGTCGGCCAGTCACTTTGTCCTAATTTAGAGCCTATTCAGACGCTCATGACCAGATCGTAGTCTTGAAATAAACTTCACTGTTTGGCCTCTAATACGAATCCTTTCTGATGACAAGACGGGTCTATCCCCTCTCACTTGTCACAGTCAATTACTTTCTATATTTCGTCCTTCCTTCTCTAAACTACATATCACGACTTTTACAACTATACATATATATTGCACACGGCTATATTGGCAATATTTATAAGCACCCTGTCAGTCCAAAACAGATTCTGCCTTATTTTCATTAGCTCACGATAAACCGGCAATTTAGTCACCTCAACGATCGTACACAGTCTAAGCTTTACCGCCGTAAAATTTAAGCCTCGTGTTTTGTCGGACTTCGCCTTATCCAGTATTCCGAACATTTGCATTTTCACGATCTTCTGTGGTTTCTTGTTGCTGGCCGCTCTACGCCTTGGGATACTGGTGTTGTTGCGGAAAGCCTTGATTTCTAAGCGCTGCACTTTCGAAAAATGTGTAATTGCCGCAAATCCCAAGGCATGCATACGACAATGTAGACATAAATACTGCTCTGTGGACGGTGCATTTCATCTTAGAGCTTAATAGCTCACTTTTTAATGAAGGATATGTTCTAATAAATGTTGTGAAGGCATTGACTTCAATCATTTCTGTGTCTAATTCTCTTACCGAAAAATATACAGATGTTGTACATGACTCTCGAACGGGTTCATCGTCGGTTCAATACGAGATGACACTCAACCGATCTAACTCTCTAGACACAAAATTTCATTTCTTTTGTTCCAGCGCTCACACTGCGTCTCAATCGGATCCAGACCTCGCAGCAGCGTTCTGAGAACATACCCTTCTTTGCTCTCAGTAGTACATACGTGCCAGCAGCAAACACCTAGATATTCACTAGTACTTTTGAAGGGGGGGGGAGGTTCATTTATACATACGCTGTACAATGCGTTGCACTCCTTTTCTCTTGGCGGAAACATTTTTCCTTCGACCGAAAATCTTAATTTTCTCGCGGCAAACATCTGCTAACAGACTTCATTATACTAACGGAAATTTTAATTTGAACTTATACGCACTGTTATGTGGTTCCTGGCTGCAGAGAAATCCCACTGGGTTTTATAGCCGCCCAGCTGTACGTTTTACGGCCATGAAATCCATTACTGCCTACAGGTACCGAATTCTGCATTGATGGCATACATCAGGACCATGTTCATTGTGCTGACTCCTGCAAACAGCTGCTCAGTCCCCCGAAGAAATTACCATTTCATGGAACCCGCGACCTCACTGCATTGTTCTCACAGAACTCACTGCCCCTTATTCTCAACTACACGACTCCTGAGCTAGATTCCAGGGCCTCGTCATGTAGGATTTGTGGCGTACACAATGTTGCAATTGGACAAATTTTCTCCAAGTACTTCAATTTTCCCTGCCAATCTTCGTTCCACCAACTGCTCTACAATCACCATCGTCTAGGATTGCTACAATAAGGTACAACTAGCTAAAGTACCAAATGGTCTCACTCCAATAAAAATAATAATAAAAGAATCTTGTCCACACCCCGCCCCCTTGGCTCCATTTCTCCCAATATCGCTCTAAATATTCTCTTTCTATCCCCAAACAGATCCTTCAATTTATCCTACCAAAATACCCTTTGTATTCCTCTCCTGTGACTGACATGTCCTTGGTCGTAAGATTTGAGGCTTTCACGGCGGTGACTATGAAGAAGGCAGTCTTCTGGGATTTGGCACAGTGTATATGTGGTGTTAACCGACGTTTCGGAGGAACGTCGGTTAACACCACATATACACGGTGCCAAATCCCAGAAGACTGCCTTCTTCATGTCCTTGGTTCTTTACTGTTATCATCTTCAAGGAATTAAATTTCAATCGATAATTGTGTGGGAAATTGTTTTCTGACAAACATGGGTCTTGTTTATAAGTAGGTAAGAATGAAGAGGCATTAATTTATAATTGACTTGAAAAATTCAGTTTGTCGACCTCAGTGTGAAACTGTGAGAAGCAGAATCAGTATCAGGTTTGAATGTGAGAGGATTATTTCGTAATTTCCTTACCTATTTCATTTTTGTTACATTGTTATTCACTTCTGTTGTTATAGGTGTATTCCTTCTCTTGCTTTTGCCATATAATGCTACCTGTACTGGACTGGTGAACATGAACATAAGATTTTCAATAGTAATTGCATTTCATAACGATACATTATTAATTTTTGCCCTATAAACCTTTCCATTACAGAATTGGAACATGAATACATACCAGATTTTCAGTATTCATTATATTTGTTTAAGATATGTTATTATTTCCGCCATATTATGCTGCCCAATGCTGAACTGTTGAAGATGGATATATCAGATTTTCTTATATCATTAAATGCAGTCTTAATCTTGTTGACAAGAGTGTATTTCACATTCTCGAGTTCCATCATTCTAATGAAAGTAATAATAAATGGGAACATGAGTATTGTTGCTTACAGTACATGATTTAAAATACTTAAATGTAACCGAAAAACTGTGTTCTCTATGGATTTCAAGTGTAAGTTATGAGGAAATTATGAGGCTTAATATATGTACCTCTGATGGAAACAGAATTTTCTTTCAAGTTTCCCCACCTTCAGCTTTCCTAAATACAAGTATTCCATGTATGTCACAGTTCACAATGTTCAGTGCCTTTGGTTAAAGAGGTGTTTCATGTGAAAGAAAGGTTATGACTTTCCAGGCACTGGTGAGAAACTTTCTCCAGATAAATAATTTGCAACCTAATCTCTTGTACTCCAGAGCTGCAGAGGCTCTTATTCCGTTGTTATTTTTTTTTTTGGAAAGGGTGGGGGACCAAGTTTAATAGCACTTCACTCAAATCCAACCCAAAGGATATGGGTGAAGTGATATTGAACTTACTTATGGAGCTGAGCCCTTCTTGAGAACCCGCCAATTGGGCAGCCACTCAAGAATTTTCCAGCCTTTTATGGAACCCGAAGGTTCAGTACTGTGTTCACAAGAGACCTCCACTCATCCCTATCCTGAGCCAGATCAAACTAATCCATACAATACCATCCTATCTCTCTAGGATACATTTTAATATTGTCCATCCACCTACACCTTGCTCTTCCTAGTAGTCTCTTTCATTCTGGCTTTCCCACCAATATCCTATATGCATTCCTCGCTTCCCCCATTCGTGCTACATGCCTTGCCAACCTCATCCTCCTTGACTAGCGATATTGAACACAGTTCAAAAATAAAAATAGGTTGGGGGGGGGGAACCTCTGCAGTACAAGAGATATGGTTGTAAAAGTATTTATTGCTATTCTATCGAACAAAGCATTGTGGAGGGAGAGAACTCAAAATAGTTGCTACGTTAGGATACCTTCTTACCGATTGTGCTCTCGGCCCTGTTGGCCATTTTAAATTTAGTTAATGTAGGATGCGCAGAGATGGCAACAGCATTGCACTGTGGTGTCATGGCGGCCATGTTGCCCACTAATATCATGGGAGTTTCACGGGGCTGTTCCAGAGAGACTTATGATTTATGAATTATTCTGTATACTTACTTACTCATGGAGCTGAGCCCTTCTTGAGGAGCCGCCAATTCTGCAGTTACTCAAGAATTTCCCAGCATTTATGGAACCCGAAGGTTTATTACCGTGTTCACAAGAGCCCTCCACTTGTCCCTATCCTGAGCCAGATCAATCCAATCCATCCCATCTCTCTGAGATCCATTTAATATTGTCCGCCCACCTACGCCTTGGTCTACCCAGTGGTCTTTTTCCTTCTGGCTTTCCCACCAATATCCTATATGCATTCCTCCTATCCCTTTCCTTCTGGCTTTCCCACCAATATCCTATATGCATTCCTCCTATCCCACATTCGTGCCCACCTCATCGACTTAATCATTCTAATTATACTTGGAGAAGAGTACAAGGCAAATTTTTTATTGGACTGATAATTATATGATCCCAACTACTTGTTTGTTGAACTAAAGTAAATACGTTCTTGTCAGCTAAAATGACAAGAACAGATACCCTAGACTACGCCTCTTTATGAGACATGAAATTCCAAAAGCTTATCCATCACTTGTCTCTACTCCAACACTAAACATTGTACAAAACTGTACGAGCTGCAATCAAATCCAGATCACACACTAATTGCATTAATTGCAATTAAAACCCGATATACAATAACCTACATAATTGGAGTTTAGGTGGGCCGATCCCGGAGGTACTGCAATACCGGGCCAACCCGTGACAGAGGTGGAGCAAGCCCCTAGCACTCCGTCATTTTCCAAAAATCAGTTTAATATTCTGGTCCTGCGATGCAGGACGTATCAGATATTAAGCTGATAAGAACAGATACTACACTTTGATCTTAGCCAAAAGGCCGAGAAGCGATGCTGACATCTAGCGTCGCGACGCCTAAAAATATGCTACGACGTTTCCTTTCCATAAACGCTAACTGGTGGATGCTTAATTTTCACTTTTCCTTGTCATTCTGCCATCATACGAGTCGAAGGTCGAACGTAAGCAGAGCAACACCGTGCAGAATGAAATGTCCTTCCCCTTATCAGTCAATTACTCTACGATTCATAATCAGATAATTCCGTTTTAACACATTTTATCGATCAGTGCCATCTAGCGACTGCATTGGCGCTCGAAAACCTGCTGACAAGGACGGACTGATGCCTTCTGTTGTCTCTCTCTCTAGCTACCTCTCTCTGTCACACACTCGCTCAACGAGACCAACATGTTAACGCCGATATATGGAGTGTGGAAGCGATTCGTAGTTTTCTTCACCGCCTCTAGCCACATCCTGTGACAGTATGTTTCTGAACAAAATTTCGCCTCCATCTTCATGATCGGAGAGTAAAGCGATTTCCCATTTTTCTTGAAAAACACGGCGCTCACTTTCAATACGTGTAGTTCCTATTTGCTATTTGGATTTTTTGAAAGCGACATTGCCCTTTAAAAGTTACTGTACATATACAAGAAAACTCGTAGTTGATAATTTAATGTTTAATTATAACCTTTATACGTTCATCACAATGTAACATCAGCACCTGTCGCTGTGTGAAAATGAACTGAATGACAATGTACAAGAGACTACCGGACTAGTAGGAAGGTGTATCTTGTCCAATGGTCATAAAAGTGAAATTTGCTAGCAGGCCACTGGACAATGAATGGGGGTTGCAAGTTAGTTTTGAAGGAAGAAATCCCTTGCACTTGTCTGTCAGTTGCCACCCTCCTTGCATTCTTGGAAATACTTGGGGTGGTGAGGCTGTGCGGATTTTAGTGCATTACCCTTCTGAAATACAATAGTTTGTCCTTCACGAACTTTACAAACCGTTAGTTGGACAAACTCTTCTGCAATTCTCAGAATCACTTTTCCTGCAGCCTGCTAATTTATGTCTGCGTGAGACTTCTTGTCTTCTGATCTGCTGGAAAATTGTCTTTACAAAAAATATTACTACTACAATTTTAATATTGATTTTAATATCAATTAGCTCTAAAAGTTGAGGGGCCGCACTTTGTGACTGTGGGGGCCCCATGTTTGACACGGCTGCTCTAAGACGTTTCTTCTTATTCATGCCGTTTTATCAAACACGTTTTGTTTGCAATAAAATATGTAACTTTTTTAGGTCGAGAATTTGAATGCTACCGCTGAAAATCTATTACATTTACGTACTCGTAAATTTACCTTTCGCCTTTTAACATATGTGACCACTGCAATCTACGAATGAAGATATTTATTATTATTATTATTCTCGACATATTTGCAATCGGAACATTTTCTGTCAATGACACTGAACCTAAAATTGTTAATAATATTTGTTAATGATACCCTTAATATTACTTCTGTGTATGTGGTCTTATTTTGTTGTTCTCTCTTGTTAACGTTAACTTTTACTTTTTCTTGGCATTATTATTAATCTATTGTCTTTATGTAGACTCTCAAATTTTGTATTTGTTTTTTAATTATTTTTATGTAATTCTATGTACTCATGCTAACCTTTTAATTGGCCTCTGTGCTGTTAAGTTGTACGTAAATAAACATGAATTGAATTGATCTAAATTAGGATGTTGAGCTGCCACACGAATAAATAAGAATTAACTGGGTTATTATAGGATTCTGACGATGGTGTATAACACACTGATATGTTGGGATTTTGGACTTTATCCATCGTCCTGGTTTTTAAGATAACAAATAAAAACACGACGTTTCGGAAACTGGATCTGTTTCCGTCCTCAGGTGAAGGAAAACACCTATTCAGTTGGGTCCCTTAGAAAGAGCTAGCCTCAATCACTGGAC